ATTTTTTGGTACCGGGGATCGAACTTGGGTCCTTGCGCTTGCACAGCAGGTGAAACCACTGAGCTAAATCCTCAGCCTCAGGCTACTTTTTGATGTTTCCACAAATAGTTTTTGTAGGTAACACCACATTTGTATTTTACCATTGCAGAGTAAAAATGTAAAACTCTGCAACTACAGACAACTGGAGGGCATGTAAATTTGGTGTGTGCATTAAAGGAAGAAGCTCAAAAGGCTTGATAAGGAGCGCAGCAATTTCAGTTGTGGTTCTGAAAACTAGGTCTCACCAAAGGAGGGTCCTGGCTTCCAAAGACGGAGATGTAAAGCGTGGCCCTGTGCTCTCCGGTGAGCTGGGTCTCCAGGGCCAGTGGTACGTGCACAGTGCTGTTGGGGGGGATGAGCCCGCAGGGGGAGGGGGCAGAAAGCAGCACAGCCAGGGGGTCCTCACACACCTGGAGAGAGAAAAGCCAGGGGGGTGAGCAGCCCCACGTGGGTGGGACAAAGAGCCCATTATTTTGAAACAAGTGTTGTCCTGAGTCCATTGGGCTTCTCTAGAAATGTTGCCTTGTTCAGGCAAGTCAGTGGGGATGAGCACCTCAATTCAGCCAAAAAGGAGGTTTGGTTAAGTGAAGTATGTATAAGGCTCCTCCTCCATATTTCCCAGCACTGCAAGACTCGGGGGTGACACACACAGATGAGTTCAGGACAACAGCCCTCCACTGCCAAGCTCCTAGCCTGGCTCTCTTTACCTTCAGGGTTTGTGCCCCATCAACGTGCCCCTCAACACCCCGTTAGGAGAGGCCAGGCCACCAGCACTTCCTGAGCACATGATGCTGTTCCACCTCCAACTCTTAGAGTGTTGTTCCCTGTGACCTGCCTGGCACATTTTTCTGAGATCCCCCGAAAGCTTGGGGACCTGCGAAGTCCTTTTCTCCACCATGCTCCAGGCAGCCCTGTAACCATCTGCATGTCCATCTTCTTCATGGGCCGCAAACTTTTAGGGCATGACCCAGGCCCTCCTCTCTACACACCCACTTTCTGGCCTAAAGTATGTACTTCATATGTGTTTTTTACATGAGTAATGAATGAATACATGAACGAATGAATGTCATCCAGTGTTCATCCGTGTGCAATTCTCACAATCCTGTTCTGTCCCACATTACTAGCTTTTATGCAACAGTCACACACAAAAAATCTTATGGTCAAGTAAGTTTCGGTAACATTTTTTAGGGTGGTAGATCTTGTTATGTAGTTCAGGCTGATCTTGAGCTCACTATGTATCCCAGGCTGGCCTTGAACTCACAGAGGTTCTCCTGCCTCAGTATCTTGGTGCTGGGATTATAGGCATGTACCACTACACCCAGCCAAGTTTTAGTCTCCTGAAAAATACTTCTAAGGACTTTTGTTCCTCAGGAGATGGAGTGTGCAGGTGTCGCCCTTCTAGAGCCGGCCGCACTCTTTCTGCACCTGGTCAGGCCTAGCATGTCCTAGTCACACTCCTCCATCTCGCTGTGCAGAGTGCCGTGCAGAGCCCCACTGGAGAGTGAGGCAAAAGAAAACTAGCAATACTGATCGTATCTTCATCCAAGTGTTGATGTTTTACCCCATTATAAGTTGTTAAATTAATTGTAATTTCTTACAATATGACATGAAAATATTACATCTTGATAATTGAGTGTTTGGTTCCCCCTTAAGTTTTCTTCCCAAAACAAGTGTTCTACCCTGTTCTCAGCCCTGATGTGCAGAAATTGCTTCATCTGACTCTAATTTCCTCTTTTAGAAGAGTGCTTTGACTCTTCTACCCTAAGAGAGGCAGTTCTTCTACCCTAAGTCTCTGCTCCAGGTTACACACCAATTTGGCTCCTCTTGTGACTTAGATTGGCAGATGACACAAATCACACTTTTGTTACTCGCAATGCAATGCATTTTCAAGTTCCCATTAAAAAGTACAGTGACAGGATCTGAAGATAAAACTCTAGCTGTGTTTTTACCCACGTCTGCCTATTCCTTCCTTGAGCTCTAATTCTCTGATACAGCCTAAGCCTGCGTTCGTTTTGTGGCCTCCTTGCTGCTCTTTTAACTGATATTGTCTGTGAAGCCAAATAACCCCCACTTGACTTTTCATATGAGTTTATATTGGAGTACTGTACTTACACAACTGAGATTTAAACTCAAATGCATCTTAGTAACCTTCATTAGCAACCTTCCATTACTCTAGTGTGTAGATCTTGGGATCTTTTATCTATACGTAGACTACTTAGTCTCCCACCTAGCCAGATGTAGTAGCATGGGGAGAGACACATTTCATTAAGACATAATCCTTCCTTTCTCTTCCTGTATTACTTCTCACCTTCTGGACCAACAAGTCCATTTATAAATATTGCATTACTATATATTGGTGATGCTGATCAAATCACAGCCATGGGCAAAATTAAAACTCATAGTTTATTTCCCAGGCTTGGTTAATTCCCAGGCAATTATTTGCAGGTGCATGGCTGTATGTTGGCTTAATTGACACTTTCTCTTTTTTATCAAGGGCAATTTCCCTGGGAAATGAACAACTGTTTATACCTGCAGCTGCTCACTCATGCAGATGGCGATCCAGCTGGGGCTTTGTAATCCTATCCCTGGCTTATTTGAGGGTTAAAAATCAGAATTACATAAGACCATGTGTTTAGGAATATGGCTCTTCAGAAGGATGTCTCCTGCTCATCAAGGACCTCTAACAGAAGAAAAATCAGCACTGGAGGATAAAGTAACTCACCGGAGGCAGAACCTCATAGCATCCTGGGAGGTCAGCGTGATTGACAAGCTGGACAGTTTTCTCATATGGGTATTTCAGGAAGCAGAGCCCAAAGTCCACCTCTGTCTTAACTAGTTGAATGGTAGGTACAATACATCTGCTCAAAGGAGTCCATTAAATCAAAATAGAGAGATTGTTTACATATAGAGAACACACAGTCTTAAGTTTAATACATTTGTCACTGTCTTGTAGCAGTTTTTTTCTAATAACTACATTAATCATTTTCAGATCTTCTCTGCTGTCATCCCTCTCCCTGTCAACTATTTTTTAATCAAAAAAAGGACTAGAAGCAGAACTCTTTAAACAGCTGTCTTTTGTGGGTAATGACTAACATTTCCATTGTTTTTCAGCTGGGCCTTCTTTTGACAAAGGGCCCCATGCTGCAAGTTCCTTAGGGCAGTGGGACTGTTTTCATGCCAAACAGGGCTAATGCCACCAGCATGGGGTCCTTACTAGCTGTGACACTTTGGCCAAGGCAGAAAGTCCCCCGGGACTAGTAACAGCTCACATCATCTAAATAATGGTAATAATTCTAATTCCTATGCAGAACAGCTGTCTTGAATGAGGGGCTCTGGGCAGCTGCTCAGCCCAGAACTGGCATGGTGACAGAGGTTCTGATATGGAGGGGCTGGGGAGAGGAGGGGAGGGTTGTGTGCAAGGAGCTGAAGTCCCATGTTTGCAGATGGTCTGTTATTAGGTGACCTGGGTTTTATTTTGTGTCTGTAGCTCCCAGTGTCTAACCTGCCCTATGTCACTATTGCAACGTACAGTGTAATGGCAGTGAGTACTGGCTTTTGAATTAGACAGAGCCAAGTTCAATCCTGACCTTATGAAATGTCACCTGTGTTACTTTGAGCCAGCTGCTTTCTCTCCCAGCATCCCACTTCTCTCACAGGTAAAACGAAGGTTGGTGTAGGGATTGATATTGTCATTGCAATGCTTCTTAGGGTGTCATGGGGAATCGAGGAAATAAATGTGAATGGAGGGCACAGCCTGGTGCCATGTGAGGTGTAAGTGCTCGGTGAGAGGAGGTGACCTGTGGTGTGGCAAGCTGTCACTGCTGGCTTCCTGACCGAGTCCCTTTAGGGTGCAAGTTGCAAAAGCAACACTTCAGTTGAGAGTCAGGGAGTAGCTCCTGCAGATTACACTGAAAGGAAGGACATGAACGGGCCTTTCTTTAAGCCCAAAGCGTGTGATCGAGCATGAGATGAGCATTGATTTTTAGCTAGAATGGAAGTTGTCAGTTGACCCAATGACTTTTAATCCTTTGCTGCCTAAAACGCTGTAGCTGAAAGGGTTTATATTATTTTGCTTTCATTAGTAGGAAACTCATAGCTTCTCTAGATATTAGTTTTTAAATTCAGTATTTCTTTTTAAAAAAATTATTTTATTGGTACATTTTAGGTGTACAATATAATGACATTCATCAATGGAAATCTGCACCTTTACATAATCTCCCTTGGGTCTTATTTTTCCCCCTTCCCCTGCCCTCCCTTCAAGCCCTCCATCCCTCCCTATTTACAAAGACCTTGTTTCCATTTTTTCATTTTCCCATATTAATTCCACTCTCTTCTTTCCTTTCTCCTACCCCTTCCACTTCCCCTTCCCTTTGCCCCTTTTCTTCCTATTTCACATTATCTATTATACCTTTTAGTCCTTATTTACACTTTCAGTTTCTCACACTAGAGA